AGCAAGCAACTGAAAACTGGTATAAACTGTTATAAAAACTTTTGGGCAAATATAATAATTGGTATAAACTGTTATATTTCATTTTATGCATTTATGCCTATTTGTTGCCGACAACAACAGCTTGATGGCAACAACAACCCCTTTACAACAACATCCCTGCAGCAGTCCATACAAATTTCTGAAATTTTCCATGCAAATTGCCCGTTTCCCAAATTGGGATAACAGGCGAACAGAAACCAGCAGCAAGCAACTGAAAACTGGTATAAACTGTTATAAAAAGTCCAAGTTTCGAACCATTGATCTTGGAGTAAGCGAAGACTCAAACCAGATGTGACCATATTGTACATTTTTTGGCTAAAATGTTGCTTAAATGCACCTGGGCACACTGAATCTGACTTTGCATCAGTGATGCTCATATATCTATTTTGTCCCAATAAAGAAATATAGCTAGATGGGCATCACTGCTATTACGCCTGATATATTGCCTCCCAATATTGCAAAATAGCTACATGAGCATCACTGATGCAAAGTCTGATTTTATAGCCTCCCAATATTGCAATATAGCCAGATGAGCATCACTGCCATTAAGCCCGATTTTATAGCCTCCCAATATTGCAATATAGCTAGATGAGCATCACTGATGGAAGTGAGCATCACTGATGCAGATGAGCATCACTGATGGAAGTGAGCATCACTGATGGAAGTGAGCATCACTGATGGAAGTGAGCATCACTGATGGAAGTGAGCATCACTAATGGAAGTGAGCATCACTGATGGAAGTGAGCATCACTGATGGAAGTGAGCATCACTGATGGAAGTGAGCATCACTGATGGAAGTGAGCATCACTGATGGAAGTGAGCATCACTGAAGGAATTGAGCATCACTGATGGAAGTGAGCATCACTGATGGAGATGAGCATCACTGATGGAAGTGAGCATCACTGATGGAGATGAGCATCACTGATGCAAGTGAGCAAATTTTTTCATTCGATTTGGCCGCTTTCCAAACTGGGGTAACAGGCGAACAGAAACCAGCAGCAAGCAACTGAAAACTGGTATAAACTGTTATAAAAACATTTGGGCAAAAATAATAATTGGTATAAACTGTTATATTTTATTTTATGCATTTATACCTATTTGTTGCCGACAACAACAGCTTATGGCAACAACAACCTTTTTACAACAACATCCCTACAGCAGCCAATCCAAATTTCCGAACATTTCCATGCAAATTGCCCGTTTCTCAAATAGGGGTAACAGGCGAACAGAAATCAGCAGCAAGCAACTGAAAACTGGTATAAACTGTTATAAAAAGTCCAAGTTTCAAACCATTTCGGAGCCGGCGGAAGTAAGCGGAGACTCAAACCTTTTGAATCCAAATTTAGGTGTTATTTTACAACTGCACCTGGGCACACTGAAACTGATCGTCGTTAAATTCAAATTTGACAGTTAAATTCAAATTCAAATTTGGCAGTTAAAATATTTAAAAATTTTTTTAAAATTCTAAAAAAATTTTAAAAATCCAAAAAAATAAGTTAAAATATTAGAACATAATTTTAAATCTAATTTGAGACATGAGCTTCTGGTATTTTATCAGAATTTTGGTATAAATTTTATGAAAATCGGACGACTATATCTTATAGCTGCCATAGGAACGATAGGGAAAGTAATAGACAAAATTATAACTTCGTTGTTTTTCAACGTATTTTCATTTACTTTAAGACATGAGCTTATTTCAGAATTTTGGTAACAATATTATGAAAATCGGACAACTATATCATATAGCTGCCATAGAAGCGATCCGTAGATGTAGAGAAAATGTAAAGCTGGAAATGTATAACTGTAACTTTCAAACTGTAAACATAATAAGTATAGGTAAAATGTTATGAAACTCTGTTTAGTGTCTGTTTTCGGCATTATAATTTATGACATAAATATGAAAACCAATCTGCAAGGGTATACAAACTTCGGCGAGCCGAAGTTAGCTTCCTTTCTTGTTATATATATTCTATAATCAAAAATGGTTTTTATGAATTAGTTACTTCCCCCAAAAACACCTCATAAAATTGTGTCAAATTTTGGAAGGATTTTTTCTTTCCTGAAAGCTCCTTTCCACACCCATTGCCCATCCTGCTCCGCCTCGTAGCTGCTTCTTCTCCTTTATGGCCTCGTAAACAGCACATAACAGTAAAGAGCCTGCTGGGGGCGGATCCTGGCAAAATATAGAAAAATAAAAACTTGTCTTTCGGCAAGTGGACGGCGGCTGCTGAATGTGCGTGAGTGAATAATAAAATAGTTTCCCAGCATCCATTTGCATATTTAAAGGCAGGAACTACATGTTTTCCTCCCGGAAAACTCCTTCCCCATTCGCTTCTCTCTTCGTGCTAATGGCTTTCCGTTACAGCCAGTATTTTCCGCTCTTCATGGCCACTTGTCGCACATGGCGAGTATTATTATTATTATTTAATTTTTCATGCACTTTCATTAAACGGGAGTGAACGCTGGAGTGGCCAAGAGGTTCGCTTGGGTTCGCGCCAGCTGTTGTCGGACCAAACAGAAGGAGCACGTCGTCCTCCGCCACCAACAAGTCCTGTGTCTATTCCCAGCGGAGGCCAAGTTTATTTAGGTTGGAGCAGCAGGACCGAATTCCTTTATCCGCAATCCGAGGAGAGAACGCTTTTGGCCTCGCTTCGATTGGGGAATTCCGGTCACACGCCCTGCTTTGCATACACTCGGGCTCAACCAAATAGGAACTACTTGGTAAGCAAGAGAAGTTTATAATATTTTATTTATAGAAATATATAAATATGTAACCCATATCGAAATTATGAAGAATAATATCATCTCCGAAGTTCTAAGAGGAGAAACAAAATACACAGACAGACAGACATGGCTAAATCGACTCGTCTGGCAACAAATAGTTCAAAGTACCGTAATGCTAATAAAAAAGTTTTATAGATGTAAAGTTAATGCTTTTACTTAATAAATCAATGAATAAATGAAAATATACTTTAAATACCTCAATACCCTACCATCTTGTGCATGGCTGTGCCATAAATATATGTACATCAAATTGAGTTTTTAATTAAGCGCCAATGTCGTCGGGATAAAGTGGAATTTCTGGGAAATCCATCGACGCAAAACTTTCCCGTCTTGGCCACCTACATTTATTATCTTCTTGTGTGAGTTTATCTATAGAATGACGATAGCTTTGTGGTGAGATTTATTTGAATATTTTTAACATTTCATATTAGTATCCATTCAGAGAATGTGAGCTGGGGCTTCCTCCACCTCCACTCGGGATACTTGTATATATATTTCCCTTTCAGTTCTTCTATTTATATTCCGTAATCCGCGCTGAAAAGCTGTGACCCTGGCATTGGATTTATTATGTGTCTGCTGAAAGGAAAAACGCGAGGGGGAAAACTGAGTGAAGGTGAAGAATGGAGAGGGAAAAGGGCTCTCAAAATACTTATTTTTGTGCAGCAGAAAAGTAAAAAGATGAAGTTACATTCTATAATCTGATAAATGCAGAATGGTGATTAATTTGTATAAAATATACTAAGGAAAATGTGAAACTTAAAAATATTTCAGGTACTTTCTACTCTCTAAATACCACCTCAACTGTTTTCCTTAAAAACAAAATTCCACAAAAATTAAAAACTCTAGAAAACGTTATTTAATTTGGACTTTAAAGCCTTGAACCACCTCGCTATTTGCACATTTTTGGCTTATTTGGAAATGCTCGCACTGGACAAAATAATAAAAAGCCAACCACAACAGTACAAAAGTTGTGGGAAAACTGTGGGAAATCTGTTGGTGGGAAAAGGGGAGCTGCGAGGCTGAAGAGCTCGGCGGAAGGCCACCATTTCGTATGCAATTCCACAATTCCGGGGTTGATTGCAATTTCTGTGGCCGGACCAAATGTAATTTGTTTTGATATTTCTATTTGACGGATCTGTGGATTTTAATGACACTCGCTCCACGCGAGACTACGAATTATTGCCACAAGTGAGTGGTTTTATCCGGATAATACAGAAATAATAGCTTAGCTAGGTTTAGATGAACCAAAAACACTTTTAAATTATTGAATCTAATTTGTATTTGTCATTTATCTAGAGGCTTAAGGCTATTGGGTCTCACTTCATGTCAGGTTCTTCTCTTCCCGCCTCAAACCCATCCCAAAAGGGGTCAACGTCTTAGGGAGATGAGCATATCAGCTTACAGCCTTAACTGATGAGAGGGTCCTATGGCCATTGTCATTTGCTGTGATTATATGGAGCACATGGTGTCCAGGCCATGTGTCTGCCTCCATCCTGGCCCTCACTCTCTCTGTCCCTTAATCTGCCGCAGGTCACAGGTGTCAATGTCAGCCTACGTTTCCCTCCCTGGGATTGGGCTCTCATCTTTATATTATTATTATGTATCCGAATAATATAATAAATATCTTTATGAATGTAATTGTAGGTATATGAAAAACTGTTTGGTATTTTGAATGTATAGACAACACTTATAATACCTATAAATATCACCTTAAGTATTAGGTGCCTCAAAAGATGATACTCTGACACAGATTGGAGCATATTTATAAGGACTCTGAGTAAAAGTTATCAAACATTCGCTGAATGTTTTTATTTTTATGATATTTTTCCATGGGGCCCAAAGTGTCGCTTTATTGGCCAAGAGCAAAAGGTGCTTCCACCCAGCCTCCCCCTTTCCCATTATTTCCCTTCTCCTGCCCACCCAGCGTGTCCTCGGTTAAGGACATTAATTTAATCGGCATGTCATTCCGTGTTCAAAGTTTTACACCTCTGCGACTGGAGGCAGGATAACCATAAAATGCCTCTTGGCTTTGTCCTCGTCTCAACTTAATTCCCTTGTTTCAGCCTTGTTAAATGAGCTGCTGAGCCCGCAGTGGAATTTGCCAGCCAAATGGGTTTAGTTTCGCACCTGTAGTGGGTATTCACACAAGTTTGCATGGATACAGAAGTGGTAGCTACCTGTGAATTCGCAATTTGATATTCCGACCCTCTGCTCCCGGCTTCCGATTCCGGGCTCACTTCTCCAAATTAGAAACGTTTGCTGGGCGGTTTCTGTAATCGAAAAATGAAACAGTTTGCACAATTAAAGTCAATTTATTTATTTACAAACTGAATGAAAAATGCATCTGCTTTCATTTGGCATTTACCAATTAAAATCGATGGAAAATAATGTGAAATTCGGAGGAGGAGAAGCGGGTGGAAAATGTTTCGCTAATTTGTTGGTAAATGAGTGATGAGTCGAGTGTGTGGATAATGGTATATAGACACAGATCAATTATTCTGACAGTTTCATTAATTATCCTTTGAAATTTGAAGAGTGGAGAAGATAATTTATATATCATTTGATTTTGAATTTCATTTGGAAGTCAAAGATTTAAGTTTGGGGTTAATTCTCCTCAAATATCCCCGCTGTTAAACAAATCACAATTAGGCTGAAAATTTAATATTATTTTTTTATGGTTGTTCATATACAAATGTGGATGCTTCTCTCCAGTTTATTGCATTCTCTGGCTTGTTGTTGAGACGAATTATCGTTAACATTTTTCCCTCTTTTGTTTGATTTTTACGAGTTTTATTATCCAAAGGCAGATGGTTGACAGTGATTGTTATTTTATGTGTTTGTTGTTTTTAGCTTTCTGTTGTTTGTTCTTTTCTCGCTAATATTATGCTGTTATTGACAGTTATGACAGCCATTGCATTGCATCTTTGGCGTCAGAAGTTGTGCATCTTATATTGCTTCCTTACATTTCCCTTGTAAACATTCACTCGGTTTTAGTAAACATTTCAGAAACTGTAGCTCAAGTATTTAGAATTTACTTTGGGATTGCCTTGTGGCTGCTGCTATTAAGACCCTCAACAATACCAAATTTTTGCTGAGAAACTCACAGAGTTGGGGGGCTGGCTCAAGAGATTGAAAGCGAATTAGGCGGAACTAAGCCACAATTAACTGCGAATACGTGTCTATATATACATATGCGAATATAAACAGAAGTCTAGTCCTCATTCGTGGCCATGGCAACGAGTGTGCAGCTCATTAGAACAGGAATAGGCGGGGGAGAGAGTTGGGCTGGTGCAACCGCAAAATGCCATCAACAGATGCAAATGAAATGGCAATTGCCGGGGGCTGTGTCTATACAGCTGTGTTCATAGCAATAGTGGCTTGAACTCTCGTCTCTAATACAGCTATAATGGATATTTTCCACCTTCGTAGCTATATCCCTGAGTTGAATCTGAATCACTTCCCATGTCTGCCTTCAAGGGGTTTACTTCCTTTAGAGAATTCCAACTCATAATGCACAATCTTCTGGCTTACTCAGGCCTCTCAAGCCAAATTAAACGAAATGGGAAAATGGGGAAAGTCTGAAAATGTGCCTCTGGCCATTCACTTATCCCACATCACTGGTACTTGGCACTTGGCACTCGGACGCCACACGTCGTTCTGTCGCCTTGTGAACTATCCTTGGGTCCTGGCAGGATCTCCTCCCCACCATTATGATTAGAATAAAATGTGGCAGCTGTGAGTTACGAGTGCACGTACCGAGATGGCCAAATGGGTGAAGTTAAGACCGAGACAGGCAGGACCATAATGAGTGACCCAAGGAGCAGTGTTGGCAGTCGAATTAAAGTTGAATTAAATACATTTATTATAGTTATTATTCTTAAATTTAACACAAATGAAATAATAACTAAATTTAAAGGAACCTGTTAGCAGGCATTTGAATTATTTTCCTTGAAAGTTGCTAGTTCCAATAAATACGATTAACATTCTTACCTTACCTTCTACCTCCAAGAGGTAAGGCTTATTTTTGGGCTTGATTGAAATTCAATTCCAATCGAACTTCGTATCGGATTTTATAGCCCATTCAGAACTCCCAGGTAACAACATATTCCTGTCGATGTCATCACAAAGGCCCCCGAAATACCCCGAAAATCAGACCCTCCATAGTCCTTGCTTTCATTATTTTTTATGTTCTCACATTTCGTGCGGGGTCTGCAGTCTGGACTAATCGAATCGGTCCAATGTCTTCATACATCTATATGTATTTGAATAATCAAAGAAACTACTTGGCCCGTTCCCATATTTTCCTGATGAGCTCAGGGAGGTGTAAGTGGCCAAAAAGGGAATAGGGGTGACTTCTGGGCCACAAATGTTACAGTCAGTGCTGCTCCAGAGTAGCGATGAAACCAGCAACAGTTCGAAGAGAAAATATGTAGAGAAGACTTGTCCTATTCGAATTTACGAAGAGGAGTTTAATAAAATAGGAATTATGAAATAAGAACCCTACTTAAAATTCAATTCTTAATTAAATTGATCAAGCACCTTTATCGAGCACTAAAATATAAATATTTATGTTCTACAACAAATTCAAAAACCTTAAAATATTTACTAGGGTTTCTTAGAGTCCCTGCTCCTGCCCCTACTCCCAGCCACTTCCATTTCATCCGATTCGCCTTTTGCTCCAAGTGGCACTTGGCACCCCTCAAGTGGGTGTGACGAGTGTGTGGATAAATGAGTTGGATTCCGGTCCCAAGGGTTAGCGAGTCTGCGGGATATGGGAGGGAGTTAGGCAGTTACCCCTCAAAAGATACATCGAAGGGTGAAACTCAAATGAGCAAAAAGGGCGCCAATTGAATATGAATTGAGTCTCGGATTAATATAGCTTAGCCATTCCATCTTTGCCTCTATCCCTGCATTTCCTTAATTTGTCGCAGAGAACTAAGCGAAAATGGAATGTAAATTACCACCCAGCCCACTCCAATCCCTCCCAACTCGGGCTTAGTGTCCGCAGTTGCCGGTTTTATGGCTTCCCATATGCGAGCATAACCATAAAACACAAATATCCATCCAGGACAAGGGCTCTGATATGCGGAGAGCGTACTAGGAGAGGGTAAAAGTCAACAAAGGGTGTTCGGGGGAGGCTCCACTTCTCAGATGACCTTCCTATGATAAACTTAACTTGAATGGAAATCGAAAACTGAGCAAACAGTGGATAAATGTTGGGAGTTTATGCTTAAATATCCAGTTTAGTTATGTAATAATCTTAAAATTAAATAAGGAATTCAAGAATTACTCTCTCTCGTAAACACCTTCACCCCATCCTAGACTATATCCTGCAGGGCATAAAGACAATGTTCTTAAAATAGAAAATATATGGCCAATGCTGGAAAATAGTTTGAAAGCGATTCGAGCGTAAAGGGGACTCTGAGAGGAGACAATATTTTGGCGAGATAAAAGAAAAGGCAAGGGGATTTTCTCTGGGGGAAAACTAACCGCAAATAATTACAAAAACAATTGCGATTGCCATTCTCTTTCCCATAGCCACTATATTTCCTTGGCTTTGTACGATAAGCCCTGAAAATGAACAAGCTGCAAAAAAGGAAGAAAATCAAGTAAAGTAAAGGCAGAGTAACCCAGAAACCTAAATGGAAAATGGCCAAAAGTGTGTGAAAAACAAAAGCAGACTTGGCCAGGGGAGAGGAGATTTTGGTAACCAATTAAATGATAAACAAATGTAAAAGTTAGCAGTCAGCTGTGAGTATCTATGTATCTTTAACACCCATTAAAATGATCAAGTTAAGTTCTTTCTTGTGGTGCTGAGTCCTGGACTTTGGCCAGCTTCGATTGATTGGCCTCTTCGGTGGCTTGATTGATGAACCACTTGAGCAGGACACGTGCCGCCAACGCACAAATATAAATTACTTACTTACTTTTGTATTTATGTATATAGTTTGGCGGGGGATAACCTTAGTAATCCCCTACCTCAGCCTCTCCCTTCTTCAGTTATTTTTGCTTTCTCATGATTTTCACTACTTTCGCATTTTTATTGTGCACTTTTCCCTCAGACACCCAATCTCATATCCTCAGAGTGCAGGAAAATGCGATTTCCCTTCTCCCCAAAAATTGATATAATCAGTAGCCAGCCAAGAAATCATTTTTGGAATGACTTACAAACTTTTTATGTTCTTCCCGACGACTGACCTCGCTCTGTCTGCCCTTATTTACAAGGGGGAAAGTGGAAAACTTACGGCTGCTTAAACCAACTTAAAGAGCAATGGACACTTCGTGGAAGGGAGGGGAGTCCTTAACCAGGCTGTGAATTACCCAGAGAGGTGCCGAAGCCAAAGCTCAGTCACAAAGACAAACAGGCAACAAATTAAAATGAATTAAAACTGTGTAGAGCTGTGAGTGAGTGGCAGTCTCTTAAGTGACGAGGGCGAAGGGTTAAGCGATGCCAGCAGCCCCGGCAACGAGGGGTTAAGGTCAGGTGGTGGCAGAAGGCACACTGAGAGAACAGCAAGTGCGGCGAAGAATAGAATTATTCGGAATTAGTTGTAGGTGTTAATATTTTCAGTCTGTTTAGTTGTTATTGAAAGGTTACTTGAACCCTTTCCTTTCATTGATTAATTAAGAATTTATGTTAATACAATTTTATATATTTCCCTCACATTTCTCCTCCCCTTTTCTTTAGGTGTAGGCTTTATATATAAGATCCTGGGCAGCCAGGCGGAATGGCTAACTAAGATTAATGAGCAAAGACCAGGGCCAATTGCAGAAGATGTCGACAACTTCGGGGCTAATACCAATAAATGTGAGCTGGCCCTTTTATTTACTTTTCCCTCTTTTTTCTCATTTTAATCCGATGATTTATAAACGCTTCGTGTTGCCTTTTTTAAAGCCAAATTCAATCATGGGTAAAGGCTGCTCCCCCATCTCTGACCGCTGTCAGTGGCAGTTAAGCAATTGAAGCCATATTTAGTTAGCATTTTGACTAATGTCCCGGGCAAAAGCCAAAACTTTGGCCAACTAACTGAGTAAGTGACCAACTCCGATTGGGGGAAATTTGATCGATGGATGGAAATAAAGTCAAACTGTATTTAAGAGACAGGGAAAAGCAATAACAAAATCCTTTGATGGAAGGGAGACTGAGAATTGACTCTGTTGGGAAAGGCAGAATTAATTTACTCCACACTTTGGTATTTGATTAACTTTAATTGAACATCTCATGGAGTTGACAGGCTCTTTTAAATAATAATTAATTATATACATATTA